TATTTGTGAAGAACCTTAGAGCAAAAATAACATAAAATACAATTGCGTCAGTGTAGTACCGTAGGTACAAGCACACACTCGACCTATCGAAACACAACTATACATTCTGTCATTGTTTCTCCGAGCTCGGCTGATTTTTCAAATATGACGCATCTGCTGCCTGGTGGCTAAAAGCTGAACAACACATCTGACAGTGATCTGATGAATGGGGTAACCAGATTTGGACCCAATCACGATATAAATTTTCGATAAATTTGCAGTTATGTCAATGCTCCACTGGGACAGCGAACTGACTTCTGTGATTCTATTTATCAAATCCTAGAGGGCTTCAAAACTGTCAGCGAATACCACCGTGCCATCCGCGTATCTGATGTTATTGATACATTCTCCGTTAATTCTAATAACGGCTTCAACATCTTCTACTGCTTCTTGAAAGATTTCCTCAGAGAGTATGTTAAACAACAAGGGTGATATCATCGGATTCTACTGTATGGATAGACGATGTTTGATTCCAGTAAAGATTACTAATAATTCTTAGATCACAGGTCCACAGGTCACAGTTCCAATATTTGTTAATATCTCCATCAGCTTGTCGTGTTTCAATTAATGTCGCAATTAATATTTCTACAATGTTGAAATAGCACTTGTATGCTAAAGAGAGCCTCTCTCGTACCCACTGCGTTACGAAAACCAAACTGTGTACAGCTAATTTTTTTTCGCATAGTCTATATATACTTTGATCTATGCTTTTTAGAGATAACTTTAAATGGCTCATTAAGCTGATGGTCCAGAAATCATTGCAGGATACTGATTTTGTTTATTTTTTGGATAGAGCAATAAACGTTCCACCATTGACTTCAGCAATGATTTGGTATTATTCCGTGTTTAAATATACAGATTGAAGAAATAAATTCGGACACATAGGATATTCAATGTATTTCGACTATTTTGTGGTGACGTTGGCCAACAAAGGTTGTCTATATAATTATATTATAAAAACCAAAGTACTTTCTGCGGCTGATGGATTCTGAACTCATAAGTAATGCTACACATAAATTTACGTTTTAGTATGCTGTCAATATCACTTTATAGTCCGGAATGAGCATTTCCCCTCGTAATTTTTTCGTCCTGCGTGTGGTTTAACGCTTGAAATTTTTGAACAGAAGCTAACTACAGATTTAGATTAAAAAAGTGATTTTATACAAAAAATGTTCTATACATTTTTTTTTGTAAATGATATTTTTCAAGTTATTCGCAAGTGAAGTAACACTCGAAAAAATCGACGTTTTTAATGCGATTTTTTCGCGAATTAACTCGAAAATGGTGCGTTTTATTCAAACAAATTGTAGAGAACAAATTTGTAGGTTTTAAAAAGACAAAGTACAATTCATTTTTTAAATGTTTTTGCTGTATATAATAGAACCGAAATTACGGTCTATCTATGTTCTGAGGTTTTCTTCAAATGCCAAATTTGAAAGTTTAAAGTCAAATTCGGGAAAATGATGCATTTTTGGAAGAAACTCACGCAACCTTTTTTTAAAGAGATAAATAGATCTTCATAGAAAAAGACTATAGCTCTAAATTGAGTGAGTTTATGATGAAATAGGCAAATACTCAATTTTTTTACGAAAAAATACGATTGGAAAACAACCGCCTAACCGCTACCATAATTAAAATCGATCTTCACCCTCTGCAATTCTCTTTGTAATGTATTGTTAATACGTGTCCAGAGTTGACCCATTTAAAATGACTTTGTTTTAGAAAAAGTACAGCTTTAAAGCGAGAATCGATTTACAATTTCCTATTTATTTTACCCTCTCTTTTTTTAAATTTCGAAATACTGAATATGTGAGAGAATAAAGTAAATATACTCATATTGTAGCTTTTTTAATGACTAAAATTTTCCTTTATTTGGATTTGTTGTACAATGAATATTGGCGTGATATAGCGTTTAAAGCATCGATTGTACTTTCAAGCACCATCTTTTTTCGAGCCTTTATAATCACCCCATTTAAAAAACAAGGGTTCCAAGAGAAGTGATTTAATTCACGATTCTTGTAGCTCTAAAACCTCTACTAATATCTGTTTTGGGGAACAACTCTATCGTTATATAAAAGTGTGAGGGAAATACGTTAAGAAACCAATTAATTTTTTTTTTCGGAAAAATCCATTAGTATAGTACAGTACATTTTGGAGCATAATTATCTACAAAAACCCGGTTTATTACGTATTGTGGGCGTTATACATTCGAAATTTTAAAAGAGTTCTTATTTTGAAAAATCCATACAACAGAATCTAAAACATTTGCTCATATGTTTATGGTTGGCATGTGATAATTATCAGAGCATACAGCTGGGGATGGTATTCCAAAGATGGTTTGTTATTACCCAGTATCGCTCATGAAACAAACAACCTGCACCCGATGAATTTGAAAATTTTTTTTGCCAATGCAATAAAAGGTATGCGGCGTTTTATGTGGTGCAGAAAGTTAGCTATATATGCTGTAAAAAAACTTTTTTACTTGTTTCGGGGTGCTCAGGTGAAAGGGTGCAATACTAGTCCACCCTATAATTGAGAGAGATGTGGATGAATAGATCCACGTGAAGATGTAAGTGTTGATGGACGATAAAATTAATACTTATAATTGTTTTACCTTTAAATGTAAATATTTTCAACTATTTATGTAAATGTATAAGGAAAATTATGGTGCCTTTTATGTTGATAAATATTTTTTTTGTATTTAATTTCTACTTTTTTCCAATTTTATCTATTAATTTAGTTTATAAACTGCACCCTTTACAACTGCAATGTTGTAAAGGGGATTTTCAAAAAGTGAAAAGTTGCAAAATTTTGGCAAAAAATTGTTTTTACCTATAGCCATCATAAAACAATTGATTTTTAAGGGTGAAAATGTGTGATATTCTATTTTAAAGTATAAACAAAATCACATTTTAACTAATCAAACCAAAATTCATGTCATCTTAAGATTTGTAATGTTATTTTACAATTTTTGAAAATTAGGGGTAGTTTTCACCCCTAAGAACAATCAGGGTTCACCGGCATGACATAAACTATAAAGCAGAGGGTCAGTTAAGCTTAATTCCATTTTTTATGCAAGTCGTTCCAAGGCGAAATCATTTTCTTCGCATTACTAATTTTTTACATTAATCTCTAACAAGGGTCGCTTTTTAAGGGTTGAAATATGATGGAACTTTATTCAAAAGCACGAAACTATCATTATTTAATTAATTCAAACCAAATTTTACCCATATTCAGGTTTAATATGTTATTTTATAATTTTTGACAATTAGGGCTAGTTTTCACCCCTAAGAACAATCAGGTTTCGTCTACATGACATAAACTATAAAGCAGCGGGTGAATTGAGCTTAAATCCAAATTTTTATCCAAATCGATCCAATGCGAAATCATTTTTTTAGAATTAGTAATTTTTTACATTAATCTCTAACAAGGGTTGCTTTTTAAGGGTTGAAATATGATGGAACTTTATTCAAAAGTATAATATAATCATTATTTAACTAATTCAAACCAAATCTTATCCATATTCAGGTTTAATATGTTATTTTATAATTTTTGACAATTAGGGGTAGTTTTCACTCCTAAAACCATTCAGCGCACTTCGGTTCGATATAGATTTTGATCCTTGGGCTATCACCTACCTTCTGTTAAAATTTCAACTCAATTCATGCAGGACGAAAAAATTGCGAGGTTTTAACTTTTCGAGCTTCATTTCCTGAACTATTAAAAACTTCCTTAGACAAGCAACATTGTTACACAAACAACATTGTTGCGAGACAGATAGTTGAACGATATTTTATACAATGTCTATACCCAGGTATTGATTTATTTTTGTCCAAGTTTTATATTGGTCCACTATTTCAAATGCAGTTCAAACAGACATATATTAAATTGTATGTTCCGTTTTAAATTCGTTCTATCTGTGTTAGTCGTTGAGTGCTGTCGGTGTTAAATAGCTTTGAGTTCAGCATAGCATAGCATAGCACTTCAGCATCAAAGAGATCTTGTACGTGTTTGGCCCATACGCATATTTCTTGATTTTTACCTGTGATGATGTTTTCCTGTTCTTTGGCCTTTCGTATTTCGGTTTTTATTTGTCTCTGAATATTTTTGTATATTCTTTTGTTATTCTTTGATTTTCTTCTTTCTTCCATGAGTTGCAGTATATTGTCATTCATCCAACTTTACCCCTTCTCTTTATTTTCTATAATATGTTCTTCTCTTAGCTTGTTAAAGGTTTCACATATATTCTAAAGTTATGCTTCTGGACCATATGTTTGCACCATGTTATTTAGCATTTCTGAAAGAATCCGTGCGACTGTCTCCTTTGTTTACTTATCTTTTAGTCTTCTCATATCACATTTTTTGTTACTATTCTTTTTTGTAACCTTTTTTAATCTAAACCTAAATTTACCAATAACAGAAATATGATCTGACGATACGTCAGCCCGGAGTAACTTTTAACTGATAGGCATCCATTACGGAATTCCTTGTTGACCATTATGTAATCAATTTGATTCCTTAATCTGTTTCCTGGTTGATCTTGCGAGAGAGCCAAATATACAAACGTCTTGGTTGTAGTTTGAAGAACGTATTTAGTATTGCAAATTAATCTTTTTCTAAAAATAGTTTTAATCGTTCTCCTCTTCCATTTCTTTTCCCTAGACACAGGACAAGGAGAAAAGGGAGGGTAGGACAAATAATGAAATTTAAATACTTTAGAATCTTCTTATCAAGTGACAATAATGTCTAGTAAGAATTCAGTAAGTAGCCAGCAAATATAATAACAGAACGCCTTGACGATACAATATAAAAAAAACAAACATCTAAGCTTAGAAACGAAAACTAGCATGTATAAATCTGAAGTTAGGACTACCATGATATTAACTGTTATAACGAGACAAGAAATTAGAACATCAAAAAGATACCTGCAAATACTAAGAAATATCTAGTCTTATACTTACTGCGTGAGGATATATAACACCGTCACAGACATTTGTAGTGGCCATACCTATTATCTCACAGAAATATTCAGCTTCAGATGATAACTGAATACTAGTCATATCATAGTTCTTTTCTAAAAGTATTCCGGTGAATAATAAATTGCATAAAACACAATTAGTTGTATCATCCTTTAAATATGTTCCAGTCAGTAGAGTTAAAAGTGTTTTATGTTCCCTAAGTTTTTCAATAACTTCTTCTGGCCACTGATTCGATATAAAAGAAGAATAAAGACCTATAACAAAATTAAATTTAGATGTTATCAATATTATAACTTATTTAGGAGATAGTATCGATAATTTCAATGTTCTTTGGGAGAGAACTCGTTGTGAAATCCAATATGTGCGGCTTCAAAAATTCGCACTAATTTACAACTACGTAAAACTATTAGATTAATATGTTTCTGGTTAATGTTTTAAAGGGAGGAAGGGTTTATTTGCAATATTTTAACATAATATTTTTAAGATTTTTTTTTAATTGTTTAATACAAATTTATTTATAATACTAGTACATAATAATACATTTCAAGAGTATTATCTGAAATTTTGGTAGAAAAATATTAAAAATTAAGAATATACAGCTAATTATCCAAGATATAACCTGCTGCAACTTATATTACAGGGAAAGGTCTACAGAAAGAGGGGACCAGGAAGAAGAAGAATATCTTGGCTCCAGAACTTACGAAAGTGGTTTTCCTTGACCACTTCAGGACTATTTCGAGCTGTGGTCAATAAAGTTAGAATTTCCATGCTAGTAGCCAACATCCGTAACGAATAGGCACCAAAAGAAGAAGAATTATCCAAGATGAAAAAAGTTTATGAGTTTCACTAGTTTTTGATTCTGCTCTCGCTGAACTCTACCTTTTTTGTTGCATCTGCAGCCATTTTATCCACTTTAGTAATTCGATTATCTACCGCGAGTGCAGATGTAATTATGAGAACTGGACACTACTTATTCAAATTTCTATGTGAGTGCTCTCTATTCTCACTCACTAATCTCACTCAGTCACCTCACTCACTTACCTTACTCACTCACTCAGCTCAATCCCTCACCTTACTCTCACTCACTCCTAAATGCCTATAACTCCATTAATTTTGCTCCGATCACTCTGAAATTTTAACTGGATAATCTTAAAGAGTACTAACAATTAAAAAATATTAAAAACGCAAAAAATATCCTACCCACCCCCCTTAAATGAACAGACTAAAAACTCTTAAGTGCATATTCTGTATTCTGGTCCTTTAGTAGCAACTTATGGAAATACATTATAGTTTTACATTCTTTCATTTGAGTGTAACCGTTTCAAAAAAATGTATTATTCTAATTCCTAGTAAATATTCAAATTAAAGTTGCTCTAACCTACCCCAAGGATCAAACTGTAGTCCTAATGGTTTCGACCTTGGCCGCCTCAAAATTGGATTGTTCGTCAATTCCCCGACATTCATCTCCCTTTTCTCTTTTTTCTCTTTGTACGTCCAACAGACAGGACGAAAATTTTGTTTGAGTGGTCCTTAAATTTCTTTCCTTTCATATATTTTCAAATAAATATTTATTTTAGACACTTACCGGAAGTCCTAATAGTTGCCAGAATAGTTTATTATCTTAATTATGGATTTATGGTATGAGCTCTGAGACCAGAATGTATTGTGAACCAAAACTTTCAACAATGCCAAGAATTACCGTTGTTTGGTATAAGTACCTTTTGTGGAATATTCCGTTTGCTTAGCCGCCCAATCCTATATATTCTTGTGGTGGATATTATGTTTCTGCTACCGATATATCCAACGTTCTGCCAGCATGTCCTCATTCAGCCTTCATTTATCACGTCCACTGCTGGACATATGCCTCCCTTAAACTCCCCCATTCTTTGCGATTTTGTGCACTTTGTTGCCAATTTTTGGTGATACGCTTGATGTCGTCAGCCCAACTTGTAGGTGGTCTTCCTCTACTACGTTTATCTGCTCTTGGCCTCCAATTTGTAATTTTACCTAGTTGGTAAAGATTATATCGTTTCTACAAACCACACAAGCATTTGGATAATTCAGGTTGTACCAATTTTCCCTCCCGGAACTGTAATTTACCTCGATGCTGGTGGCAGGGCCGAGTAACTGGTCTTGGTCCCTAATATTGTGAGGGGACCACGACCAGCGAAACCAAGATCAGTTCAAACAGTGTCTGTCGTCGTCGCATCGGGTGACCGCCGGAATTCGCCTCCAGACGATGAAAGGCACCGCAATCACTCCCAATTACGATGTCTTCCACCCTCATCCGATTCCTTTTTTTCCTTCCTCCAGACCCCTATTCGCAGAGGAGAAAACTTGGTTAAAAATCCGGCGGAGAAAACCAGCGATAAAAAATCCAGAAGTCAAAGTGTGCCGACGACTGAATGGCCACACGATACGTGGTCGAGAACGGAATTCCTCAGGGTACCAAGCAACACCCTGTTGCAAACTAACCTTAGCAGGGTAAGGTTAGTTTGCAACCTTTCCTATCGGACTATTTTTTTTTTGGCCCTACTCGTGGGATCTAAACGAGGAAAAATAAAACTAAAAAAGAAAAGATTAAAAAGGTAGAGGAAGAGGGGAGGGAGAGGGAATCCCAGTATAAAGCGGCGTTGACAAAATACCCTGAAAGTCGGCCAAAGTGTGCAAGACGACTAGCGGCACACAGACCGATGTCACAATGATCAAATATGTGACAAAAAACACGGGTGTACAGGTGTATCCCTTAGAGGATTGAACGCAGCGTTCAATTTCGACAGGAAATTCAATCAAAGCAAAACCCCTGAATAGATCACGGATCTCCTCAGCGAGGATTGGCCGGAGGTCTTGTTTACCAAGGTTTCTGATATGGAGGGTGTCCCGCTTGACTCTAACAACAATGCGGTTGTGTATATTTCCCCCGACCAATCTGATGAGAATGTGCTGGGGCGCTTCAAAGAGAGGTATCCAGACCTCCTGGTTACTCCGGTAGTTGGGGACGAAGAAGGTGGAATTGGCACAATGTTCAATTCAGTGAGCATTGTTGATGGTGATGGAAGAAAATTTTGCTCCGAACGGTACATCCATAAGCTCGTACCTAACAAAACGAATGTACCTGAGGCGGTCAGATTCTTGGCGATGAGTCGTAAACTTTTGTATAGGATGGACGAGTTAGGAAGTAAGAGAGTTGAGCTCGTCACTCCGACGTGCTTGGAGACAGACCTTACCCGAAAGCTGCTGGAATGAGCTGCTGAAGGTAAGGAAGTTAAAACCACGGTGTATAGACCAAAGAAGAGCTGGGCAAGCATGGTCAGGCCCAGAGAGAGCAAGGGAGTTGAAGTGCTAACTAAGGCGAAGGACAAGTTCTTTGATGAACTACTTGGCAAGCTACGCACAGATCTATGCGACAGGAATGACGTCGTTATTAAACGTCTTAGGCAGGCTAGCGACCAGGGCATAGTCAAATGTATCAATTGCAAAGTCACAGGACATCGGGGAGCTCGATGGAATGTCCGAAATTTCGCCAACCGGTCAACACGGCCAGGGGAGAAAAGGAAAAGAGAACGCAGTCCTAGGACTGGTGCAGTAGAATGCATGTGTCAGTGGATGCGAGAGTGAATGCGACTGTGCGCATGTGTATGTGATAATAATTATTGTCCTGTGTATCCAATGGCTACCAGAATGCAGAGACCGGATATTGTAACTATTTAACAAATAAAGGGAAAGTTTTTGAAAAAGTTCTCTAAAACCCATGATCACCCGTCACCAATTTACCATAATAGTTTTAACTATGTTTACTCAAACATTAAATAATAACCCTTGTATTCGCATGTAAGTAATATTGATTAGTTATTTATTTATTTAATTTTAATTTTACTAGATTGTTTTACTTTGTGTATTTAATCAATTTTTAAAGTCATATTTAATAATCATACATATAATATTGGTATAATTGCTGTATATTCTGTACCAAACACCACCCTAATACGGGTTATTGTGAATTCAGCATTTAGTTTAGCATTTACTGTTGACCTGAAGATGCATAGCAAATTATAGTATGCGTAACCGGTCATTAGTGGTGGAATAAATTGATTGTGAGTAAGTCTTATTCTTATTTCTATTTACCTATTTGAAATGGGCTCACACATGCAACATATTCAAGATTGTATATGATTTTTGAAAGAACCACGCTCAAACTCTTCCGACACGACCAGAAAGGCCTAGATTGTTTGTGTACATAAGTAAATATTATGCATACTTTACAGGAGTATAATAGAAACTAAACACTATTATTACTCCAGATGTGAAAAAGATGATATTAAATCATGAAAAATGACTTCATAGACACTTGAATATTAAAACAATTCAGCTCCTCGACAAAGATGAACTACCTAGAAGACTGGAGCAGACGAAATCTTTTGACTCTTGTCTCTTTGACTTCTGTAAAAGTACCTGTAGTTAATTATTTTGTTATACATAAGTGAAACCACAGAGTAACCTTCTAATTTTAAGAAATATTAGTAATTAAGATCACATGTAAATTCGTTATTACGTACTGGTCTTTATGACAGATTTTATTTATCAAAAACATCGTGCAGATGTTTCCTAAAAAAAAAAACAAAATATTTGTGCCATCTTAGAATAAAATACAGATGTAAATGAAAGTATTTCGGCAAAATTCTATAAAAAAATTCAATAATTCATAGAAAAGCGGAAAATTTTTACAGTGGACCAAACAATCAAGAAAAAGTAAATGATTTAATAATTTTTGCTGTATTAACATCGACGATAATAATTAATATATTTGTTTTATTAAATATTTTAATTCCCATTATAATTTTGTAAAAAAATTATCACGTTTTCACGTTTTATCTTATCTCACAAAAAGTAAACAACCTACTAGAACAAAGACCAGACTTCCTTGAGTAAAAAAAATTAAACACATATTTGTGGTTACGTGGTTACGTTAATTAAAATAAATGAATAATTCTTAATCAAACTCACAAAATGATTCCAACATAATTTGGAATGAGCTTCAATAGTAAATGAAAAGTATGTTGCGACTAGCTGAAACGCATTGGTTAGGAGAGGGCCATTTTAGAACACATAATGGCAATTATGTTTACATCTCTAGCTGTGAGACCAGTGGCGCACCCAGGGGGTTTTGGGGGTTAAACACCCCCAGGGCACTATTCCGACACTGTTATTCACAAATTTTTTAAGGACTCAAAATGGAGGTAGCATAAAAAAAAAT